CGATGAGAGTGTACACTCTCAGTGGCCCAAGAAGTGTTCCTCCCGGCCGATGAGAGTGTACACTCTCAGTGGCCGAGAGTGTTCCTCCCGGCCGTTGCGGGGTCTTTTTGGTAAGCGACACCCAAAACCCACTGGGGTTTTGGGACGCCGACCCCCAACTCCTTCGGGGGTTGGCCTTTTTTTTTATTAAAATTAATAGTTTTTCGACTCCCAAACCCGCTGACGGGTTTGGGGGATCGACTCCCATTCCTCGGGGATTTCGGTGGAAATTCCGGGGGTTTTGGGGTTTGGGAGTCGATCCTCCACTTTTTGGGAGTCGATTAGCTAAGACCCAATTTATATAGCCACCTGAAAGTTCTAAATCTAGTTTTTTTGCCTTCATACCTGTGTGGATCTTTGCCTTGGTCTGAAAATGTACACTTGATTTTTTGAAGCACCTCATACAAGATTCTATTTGATACTTACCTGAACCTCCAAAGAAATAACAACCAGCTGTATCTTGATAAAAGTTATACTCAATCTGTTTTTGGCTGTAATGGTCTACATAATTACAATATATTTCCTAATAATGATGAGCTACAAGATTATAATTTTTTTAGGCCCTGTTTGGCAGTGTAATAATTTCAAGTGTAATATTGCTTTATTAAATCAGTAAAAAGTAAATCACTCAGAAATATCTAACCCAATTGTTACTCAAGCAAGGTCAACTACTGATTTCAAGGTTAGTATGAACAAAGTTGAGATAATGGGCTACCTTAAGCACCATAATACCAATATTATACTTGTCTAAGAGCATGATATGAATATCACCGGGCTGAAGATGGCCTAAAATATCAAATTTGTTCTCGGCATTAATGAAACCAGAAGTTGAACTTGCCTCAGTACAAATTTTGTTACATATTTCCCATTGGTTTATTTTTCACTAGTATTTCCCCCCAATTTCAGGGAGTTTCTTGAAATTCTGTTGTCTCTCTCTTTCCTCCCTTTCATCCCAATGTCACTCCTTTTTCTCAGTTCCAGCTGAATATCCCTTTTTCACCTTCTGTACCACAACTCAGCCCACATTTGTATGTAGATAAATAGTAATACTTAAGAGTTAGAAAATTAAAAGCATCTTTTCTTCTGCGCCTGATCCCTGGGGTCTCTATTGGATAAAACCCCTTGTAGTGTGTGTGCTTTCCCACCACATAAACTGGCAGACTTAGCCCACTTTGAGGGCCCTAATACTATTTGCCTCCCTCAGAGCTTTTTCCTCAAGGTTTTCCATCACCCAGTCTCTTCCCCCTCTCTTGGCAAAAATCTCAGTTTCATCAGAGTTTGACTTGCTGACCTTTTTTTTCCCTGAATGTTGGGAGGTTTTACTGAATGACCTTTTGCCCCTTTTCGATGTATTCCTTAAATTGGACACCTGTCTTGGTCTAATGTTGGTGTCCACAAATGTGAATTGGAGGTCAACACTGGTGTTAGATTGCATGTCACTTTGTTTGGATCTCTGAGCCCATTCTTTTAGTTATATGTAGATTGAATTAATCAGGCAATATTACACCCAGTGGTGGGCTGCTATGCTACACTAAGCTACAGGCCCATGTAGCGTTAGCGTAGCGGCGCCATTTTTTTTGTGTAATGTTAGCGCGCCGCTACTGCCGCTACGCTACGCTAACTTGTAGCGGCGCTAACACTAGCCAATTTTTGGTGTAGTGTTAGCGCGCCGCTGGCGCCGCTACGCTACAGTGTTTTCAGCAGCAAAAAACACCTAAAAACCGCCAAAAATTGCTGTAACGCAGCGTAGCGGGCGGTTCTTTGCGCCCTGTGCGTGTAGCGTTAGCGCAGATGGGGGGAATCACGCTAATGCTATGCTAAACGTTAGCGCAAATTTTTCCCCCATGCACATAGCGTTAGTGCAGAAATTGAAAAAAACACTAACTACGCTAATGCTACAGTTAGCGTAGTTGGCCCACCATTGTTACACCTGAATTTATGACAATCCCCAATGGGGCCTTATTGTTACTTTGAGAAAGATTGGAGGAAGAGCATTAAGTTAATAAGAAGTGATCGCTGAAAAAGTATTTTGATCTTGGAGTCAAAAGGGATAACAAAGACAGGATTCAAACAGAGCTGATGCTACTATTAATTGCGGCTCCAACTTAGCAAATTGTAAACCTCCGCAGGTGACTACATTTCACCCGTACTTGTAGCTACTTTGAATCGTCTGAGAGCACGTACTGATGCTTTAGCTGAAGACTATGTTTGGGAGTGATGATCTCACTACCGGCTCTTCTTCTGACTGTGGCATTATCTAGGGATCAGGCAGTCAAGATAACAATAATATATTTTGCTCTATTGTTTTCTATCGTAGAAAAAGGAATCACAATCTATCACAATTAATGAAATTAGAAAAAAAATCTAATGAAATGCTGTGCTATTGTTTGGGGTCAAGAATCATTTGGAGTTTGGGAATGGACTAACTTAACTAAGTCCCTCTGGCAGTTGATCCGATGGCTTGCCGGAGGGACTTACGGGCTTTGTCCCCCCCGCGGCCCAAGAGGATTAAGGGTTTTGCTGGGGACTTTTTTATAACTCGCCTGTACCTCGCATTTTTGGACCATTCCCCTTGTTGTTTTCACAAATGTGATGGCCTGACTGTCCCCCAGATTACTATCAATTCATTTCTTCCTCAAGTTGTGATGTCCATTGGCAATCAGACCTTCTTGCCTTCTTGACCCTAGGAATATTTTCTATGGGTCAAGAGTTCATTCCTCTGTCTTCCATGCAGGTCAGGTGTATGTAGCCATACACCTGACCGTCCAGTATGATGCATTGATATTCGGGTTTCATACTCAGTACCCCATGAGTGCCCATGACCGGTTATATAACAACGTTATATAACAACGAGGGTGTCAAGTCCGCTGGATGAGATCGCTTCCTTGAAGGCGACAACCTGAATCACTGCAACGGCGAGTTCAATATTCATCCAGTGGCCTCGAAGTTAATCCTAATCGATCATGGTACAACCAGCACCCCCGACTGCAGGAAACCCCAGACGAGCAGCTCGCATTCCTATGAACGATAAGCTAGACGCAATCTGCAGTCTGATAGAGAACCTTAACTTAACACCAAAGCAGTTTTTTGTTGCTTTCCTTGAGCAAAACCACGAGAATATGGCCTTCAGACGTCGCTACTGGGGTACCGAGACAGGATGGGACTCAACAGAAAAGTTGGTTTTGGCCATAAGACGACTGGTGTGCTCCCACATTGATGGCCGGGCCCTCTGGGAAGATTTGATGTTATCAGAGGTGTGTGTGATTATACCTGACACTGCCGGGCTGGAGACTGATTTCTATGTGGGACGAAGGCTATCAAGATTGTCTCCTCTCAAAAACCTCGAAGTGGTCTGGCCCCAGAAGGTGCTTATCATAGCTCTTCAACTGTATCAGAGAGCTTTTTCTCCATGGACGAACTGGCCTCTCGAAATGCGGCACTTGTTGGGCAGATGCCGTTCCTCTACCGGTTGCTTTGTGCAAAAATGCAAGGGCCACAGTTTGACGCAGATTCTACATCTGCAGGCGATGCGCAGGCCGATCTGGAAGAGGACGTGACGGAGGAGGATAACGAAGGGGATTTGTTGGAGGAGACCGAGGCTTTCGACGGTTTTGGGTTCAGAACAATCCGTGACCCTGCAACTAGGAAAGCTAACCGGGTTCACACAGTGAGTGCTCTATCAAGCCTGGTGGTGTCCTGTACAACGGCAGTCAAAGGCCTGGCCACTTACTTTGATTTTGTTGGCTGGGCTAACAGATGGCTCGGACAATCTGTGCTATGGTCGCATTTGGGAGCAACCGTCGACATAACGGTTTTCAACTCAGTAATTCCCTGATATTTCTGGCTGCTGGCGTGACAGAGAGAGTCAGTAGCTACCTCAACTATATTGGTGTCAGCTCTTCTCGAAGGACGGCCCATGCGGCACTGGAGACCCTTGGCGAGGAGTCCAAACTGAAATTTCAAGATAGGTATAAGTTGGATAAATCACAATTGATTGCCCCTTTGCTATGTTACGATAACCTTGATTTCCAAGAAAAGGTGCACATGAAATCAATTGGGCATACCAGCCAAATGTTTCATGGCACCTGGGGGTACATCCATTCTATCCCCCCCAGCCTTTTGTCAAAACTTGACCCTCAGGATCTAACAAAGGAAGCATTGAAGGAAGCATTGCACAGGGGCACCAAACTGACAATACGGCCAGAGATGTTCACTCCGACCATGGACAGCACGGATCACTGGCAAAAGACCCAGAAGGCCCAGATCACCCAAGTTATTCTCCAGTACATTGCCACTCCGGTTGACAGTCGTGTCCCCCTGCAAAAGACTCCACCTGAAGTCCATCCGATCAAACCCGAGCCCCCTAACATTGCAATGCTTAAACTGATGATTGCATCCGACAACTCGGCGCAGGGAGTGGGAGATGTTTTCACCGGTATCATTCAGCAAAGCGGGTTAACTGCCGAAGAGTTTCATTCCCGCCTTCAAATCATGGAAGGAGATCTTGGCTCCTGTAATATCTTTGAGAGTCTCAGGAATCAGCGTTGCCCAGCGACCGGCGATCATAACAGCCTCGACAATGTCCTTCCGATACCCGGGGCAGCACACACGTTGTGGAACATCTCCCAGGCAATCTATGTCACACATTGGGGAAATGAGAAGCTTGCACGAGATACCGGAGCCTGGCGGGTGCTCCATGCCCTTGGGATACAGGCGATTAAGCCAACCACCAAGAAGGACTTTAACCTGATGTTATGCCATGTGGAGAAAATTCATGAGGCAACATTACTTTTTTGTGTCCTGTAAGTTGGTTCCCAGGGACTTGTCTCCTGTGAAGAATTTCCAGCTGATCATTGGGCCACTTGACTTATACAGGCTGGTTGCTAACCGCGTTCATGAGTCTTTATCAGATGACCTGCTGCATGTGTCAACCGAGACAATTGAACATTGGGTTGACCTCACTTATGAGAGATTCTGTTCACGAGAAGCTTTCCAGACTGACCTTGCAAAGTCCTCCCCGGCACACATGAATCTGTTGTTGCGAATCCGTGATTTTGGGACAATCATTGAGGCCAATCGAGCTATGAAAGCAGGGGATTATGGCCGACTGATGTACATGTGGGAACGATGGGCAATCATGACCCAAGGCCTTGGGAAAATGCCACATTACTCTAAACATCTACCAAGGCTCATTGTCCAGCTAAAATATGTCCTGCCCCATTCTCTTTCACAGGTGGTATATAACACAATCTTAATCTCGCCCAATGGCAAACTAGGCCACTTTGTAGCCACGGACCAGTACCTTGAGGTGTTGAACTACTGGTTGAAATACTTTTTCAACCATTCAGGCATTGGTACTAATATTGACCGGTTGAAAGATGTATTCTCCAACTCTATTGGCATTGTAAGTGTGCTCTGCCAAAATAACATGATGCACCTCAGTCATTGATCTTGATACTGTTTAGCTACGATACCTCCTTCAGTTGATCAAGATTGAATCGGGTGCAGAAGTGATACATCAATCCCACAAGAACCGCATGACAACTGACTCGCTAAATAACTTCCGACGTATGGCAGACAGTGTGGGAATGGGTCTGGCTCCCACCTGGAGGGGAAGCCCCCGAGCCAATACCCGACTGCTACGTAAATGGGATGATCAAGCTGCAGCAAGAATTCATCAATAGGGGTCTGAACAGGCTACAGCCATACTCCCCTGGAATAATGTTGATGCAAGAGGAGGATGCATTGCGTAGCTCAAGGATGGATACAGACAACATTGCTCATTTGGACATTGACAACCTAAGTGACCAGAACTCGAGCCTTGGGGATCATCAGGACCATCATGAACCAGATGAAGACTGATCAGGTAAGGCCCCTCCACGAAGCAAGTCCGTCCTCATGGAATCAATCTCCGCATTCAACTGACCCGTCCTCAACACCTTTGCAGTATGCAATTGCCCGCGTTTTTCTCGTTTGGCCTGGGCTCCCAATAGCTTCATCTTGACATCCTGACGGCGGCGGCGGATCCCATTGGCTTTCATTGTGCTGTCGAACTCTCGCTTCGCATCTGCATTGGCCCGACGATTGGCAAAGACTCTCAGCTTTTCTTCTTCATCAATCTTGTTTGTCTCGTCCCCTTGTGCCCGTTTTGAGTGCCTCAAATCCAACCGAGTTTCCCCTTGATTTGAGTTTGTAACCATCGGGATGCAATCCCCAGTCCCAAGCCCCAGAGCTGGGCCATGAGCTTCTTGCACTAACCCTGGCCCTTGAGGCCCCAACTCGTTGTTCGCCTGCCCCATGCCATCCTTCTTGGCTTTCCTCGCTGCCGCCCGATCACGAGTGGCCCTGGTCTTTGCCGCGCGCTTCTCCTCGGCAAGTCGGGTCTTCTCTGCCTGCTTTTCCGCAGCCATGAGTTGTTTCTCCCAAGCCTTATCTTCTGCCACAGCGAGTCGCCTATCCGCTTTTTCTTGTGCCACCCGAGCCTTCTCAGCCGCCTTAAACGCTGCCTTGTGAGTTTTGTCAGCAGCCCTTTTGGCTTCAGCCAGGCCTTGGAGCCTTGCCAACTCCTCAGCCATTGCCTGGCGGACCCGGATGCCCTCCTCCTCAATGAATCGGTCCAGTCTGTCGGCTTGCCCAAGGTGTAATAGGTAGCAGTCACCCTCCATCCAGTCCTTGATAGATAATCGGATGGCTGCCAGCTGACCGCTAAAACATTGGCCCCCAATGAGTTTCTCAATCACCGCCAAGTCTTCATCCATCGCTGAGATAACTTGATCAATTGATCCCACAATTGATCGGGCTTGTACCTCGCCAAAGAAGACATCCGCCGGGAATTCCGCATGAGGTCCCAAGTGATTGTAGTAGAATACATCAAACTGATGTAACAGATGCTCAACTAGATCATTGACCAAACTTTGTGGGTAGGAACATGTCCCCTTCGGTGTCGCCATCTTCCGCTTCCGTGTTTTTGTTACAATTCTGGGATCCTTTTCCAATGAGTACGGATCATTGAGCAGTGCGTCAAAGTTTGCGACATTTGCTTGTTGAATGACATTGATCAATGCATCGGCCTCAGCAGGGAGGCAATTCGAACATTTGCACTTGGCAAAACCTAGCCTATTCTCTCGAGCACGTTCCACCATGGCCTTGGGGTCCTCATCTGAGAGTGGTATGTATCCAGCCCTATGTCATATGTCAGTCCAACGCCTGAGTTAGATGCAGATAAGCCTCCGAGGTACTTACTTGTTATCCAATGTGAGGGCTATCCTCAAACAGCACTTGGTCACTGCAAGTGCATCCATGCGGGCATCATCATCCTGATGCGTCTGATCCACAAAGTCGCTGATACTATTCCGGCCATTCTTCCGGGTGGGCTCCATGAACAATATGCCCAGCCCCACATTCCCATCTCGCCCGCATCGACCAACCATTTGTACAATCGCGGCCGGATCCCCTCGCCCCATATGGATTACACACCGCACCCGCTTCAGGTTCTGCCCAAGCCCCAGTGCCATTGTTGCCGAGATTACCGGGACCGACCCTTTGCCAAAGTCGCCGATAGTGCCCTCTTTGTCCTGATCCCCGGTGACCGCATGGTATCGACGTATGAAACCGTCCTTCGGGTCGTACTCGTGCCTCTTGGTTTCCCGCGCCTCATTCACCACTTTCATCACCTGAAAAGTACGGTTCCGAGTGCCTGAATAAATGATCATTGGCACCGCATCTTCTGCCCGAGTCGTTGATTGGGGTGCAAAGATTCTCAACAAATCATCACATGAACTGAGTGTTGAATCCATATAGATCCGAATAAACCTGATTTCTGGTCGCGTGAGTTCCCCGTCAACCATTGTCAGCTCAGTGGGCTGCAACATCAAGCTTGTTGTGATTGCTGAAACCGCCTCCGGACGGCAGGTTGCTGAGAGGAGCAGAAGCGGTACATTGTCTGTTGCCATCAGACGAGTCCCTATATGCCCGTATGCCGGCCGAAAGATTGCTTGGTCCTCCAGTCGAGCAAAAATGATCAGAGTTTTGCTTTGTTTTGAAGCCACAAGACCCCACAGGTAGACCATGTGGGCCTCGTCCACAACGATCAATGCCAGAACTGCTTGGAATTCTTCGCTAAAAAACAGCTCGGTGAATAACGAACTGTTTAGAAAGACTTCTGGGCTCTGCTCATGCCAAAAGACATCAGTTGCACCCTAGTCAAAGATAAAGTGGCAGTACTACTTACAAGATACACAAAGCTAAATTTCCCTTGCTTGATCTTTTGTATAGAGGCCCGATTCAACGTCATCTTGTTCAAATTTATTGCGGATATGTTGACAAGCTTCTTCTCTCGTACCTGGAAGCAAGACACCAATTATCTTAGATCTACACACTACCTTTCCACACGGTCCCAGGCGTGTTCCTCACCTGGTCATCTCCTAAAGAGTCCAAAGGCACCAACACCAGGACCACGACCTTCTTATCGAATAACCCAAAATACATCTCAGATATTCTAGTCTTGCCAAAGCCCGTCCCAGCACGAACAAACGTATGTTTCCCTTGAACGAGCGACGAAACCGCCTCCACCTGGAGTGATTTTGGCTGATCTTGGTACAATCGGACCGATGTCGTGGTTATATGTTCTAGCAGCGTGGCCTCATCCATCTTACCGAGATCCTCAGGTAGCTTATTTCGCTTGGGCTTGACGGGTCCAATCTCCAGGAGTGCCATTGTTGCTGACCAAAACGATTGGGTTATGTCGCCGAGGGATTGGATAATGCAGGACATAACATAATCTTAGTCTTGTGTTATGACCAGTCTGTAGCTATTTGCATAATATGCTGTATTTCCTAGGGAGTCTCATGTACACAACGTGTCGCATCAAATACAGATGCCACCTCAAAATCGCTTATGAGGCAAGGAATAACAGAATCTAATGTCGCAAACTGCAGAGGGACTTGACCAGCCCAGGAATACGACTGGAACAATCTCCGGGAGAAGCCCCTTCTTTTGTTGGGTCACTTTGTACTGATTGAGCATGAGATGGAGGCCCTGGGAGCGATCAAAAAAAAGATCCAAAATTTCTACTTCCCTCAGGCGGCGTGGTAGACTTGGCGCATAAGTCCCTCCTGCGGAGGGTCCCTGCGGGACGGCGTCCCCCCTCCCATAGAGGGACTTAGCTAAGTTAGGGAATGGACGGCGTTGAAAGCTGAATGCCATCGCTGTTGCCACATACAGTTCCATCCAATCAAACCTACCGTTATTCGGTACAGACGGCCCGTCGGCGGAATAAGAGTAATGACAACGAGTGACCACACACGATCTCCATCTCTTCGTCTTCAGTCTCAAGAATTGACATCATGGTTGTGAGAGTCTTTTCCACCGGGTCTAGATTTTTATCGCCTACTTTGGTAGGGTTTTCTGCGTGTGTTTTTTTGGCGTATATCGGATCAGTGAAACTCAGACGACTTATTTAGTTCGACTTGTATATTACGAACCAATTTGCCATCGATGGGCCGGGCCATAAGTACGGGCGCGTTCTCTCTGTTGTAATAGCACATAGCAGGGGTCAATTTTGTGAGGCATAATGAGTTTGAACAGTTCGGAAGATCAAAACAAGACTGCGAACCCATGCTCTCAGTTTTATCCGATCCGCCATCACCAGCCGATCCCCGAGTCCATGTCGATTCCAATCAATCCTTTGGAAATCTCCCAAGTTGCCCTTGTCGGTCAAATCGGGAAGGGGCAGTTCGTCATACATATGATGGCAAATACGGTTGCCAATGGAAGAAAATCCAAGCTCTTCTGCAAATGAAAACATTGTTGCTCGAAGCTCCTCTGCACATTGGTGACCTGGATCTATTCAAGTTCCCTCGTATCATGCTTTAATTCACTTTTACGACTTTAGATCTCTCAATTCAGGAGAGCAATCAATCCGCTTACCGGGCCACAAGCCTCCGTAGATGAAAACCGCCAAGGTGCCCTGAGGCTTTAAAACGCGCCCCGCTTCTTTCCACCAAGTGGTATCAAACCAGTGGGCTGTCGCAAGGAATGTGGATTCGTAGAAGTGTATCAATATGCATATCATAAAAAAACGAGCATGGCTGTTTCTCGCGTATATGCCCTGAGCCGAGCCGATTCAAAGTCCAGCGAGGAATACTAACCGGAAGTACCAGCCACCAATAAGTCGACGGAATTATTCGTGATCCAAGGAAGGGACTCCGCACGTCCATGGACAAATTCAGCGTTGGTGATCGTCTTCTTGGCGTACTCCAACATGGGTTTCGAAGGGTCAACGCCTACCACGCGATCGAAGCGTCCTTGACGGACAAGCTCAGCGCTGACGATGCCCTACATCAACTTTGGCTTTCAGCTTTCAACAATCGCTGGCCAATTCATATCATCATGCTAATCTATCAAGTTCGGGGTGAAAATTCACTCAACTGTTCCGCAACCCAAATCGATCGCCAGGTCTCCCGAAGCTTGATGATAGTCCATAATCGCCTGGTATAACTCAGGTGGATATGATGGCCTGTAGCTAGCATAGTTCTCAACAGAGTACGAAGGTGTAGCAAATGTTTCGGCCATGTCTTGCGATTGATTTGATTATAAAACAGGAGTGTTCCTGCTAATACTTCTGCGATTTAGTGGTTTGATTTTGGTTTGGTGCGTAGTTGATTTGGCCTCGCTCGTTATCAGGCGAATAGGAAGTAAGTTGAATGACAATGATGATAGACTGAGAGCCTCTGGAATGCAGTTGTATAGATAATTAGGAGCCTTGCTCTGGGCGCATACTCCCTGTCCCTGGGGCCTACACTATGTGGCTTCTTTTTTACTTGCAGGCCGACCCGGAAGTTGAGGATTAAGGATAAGCGCCCGAGGCCATGAAATCTGATGGATTCTCCATTGAGTCTGGTTCTACAAACAAACTAGGACGCCCGATCACTGACCCACACCGGCATCTTATCCGGCCTGTATTTATAATTGCTGATGATTGGTAACATCATCAATTGACGCACTTCGGCCAGGGGTGTGGGGGCAGGAGGTGTGAATGGTTCACGACCAATAATATGTATACTGAAGTTGAACAGAGTTGAACTAGAAATTTACAATTGAAATTTGAGATCGGCATCCGAGGGGAACAAGAACTGCGACTGAAGGACATGTCAGATTACAGGGGCCAGATTGGCCCACTCGGCTTAATTTTAATGTACCAAGCTCACTTGCATGATGGTGAAAGCCGTAAATCAACGTTTTACGGTTGATGTACACGAAGAGGACGAGGCTTGTCTCACCGACCGATCTCAAGCTTGAGTAGGTTTGTTCAGGTGGGCACAGTGCTATGAACACGGTGAAATTTTCAACCAAAGGAATGAAGCGTGACGGAATCGCCATTCACCACGAAACTTCAGCTTTCAAGGCGAAAAGATTTGCATCAGTAAGCAATGCATCATCAAAACATCCACAGTCAAGCTATCATAAATTAGCGGTTTCTTTTCTTCAAAGCAGCTTGTACTAGCTGGTGATGACTTGACTGCCACATTTTCTAAAAGCATTAATGCACTTTGCCATGGCTCTGGAAACAACACTCTACTCGAGCCGCTTAGGCGGATAACTAATGCTTTTTCGAGTATCTTTAAGAGTTCTTGAAACTCAATTTCTCAAGAATCAAAAGCTAGGAATCATCTATAATCTGTGAACGTCTGTCAAGACTTCAAAGAGCTTGGAATCGCTTTCAAGCCTAGGGAGGGTGCCGAGTCTATGTAGACAAGAACCGGTATGGGAAAAAAGGCACTACCAAACGAAAGGTTTACTGGAATCTAGTAAAATAAGGCATTCTGGTGGCTGATAGTATGTGCACCGTCCGAAAATTTGCAAGTCTTCTAGTCTACGCAGATTCTTGGCTAGTACTCCTGATTGGCTCATGGCCGCCGCTGGTAGAGGTGCTTCTCTGACTGTGGGTCCCCTCAACAAGCGATCTACAACGTTATCACCGCCCCTTGAGATGGAATTGTTGAAGGGTCGGTCAGTGACTCAGGCCTACCTTTCTATTTATCACAATTGTGTTGATTCACCTCAGGGAATGGTAGGCTATGGCCAAGGCCAATCGTTAGCTGACGCGTCGTTAACTGGGATTAGGCAAGCGTAGGTTGGCAAGTTCCATCTATTGTACTAGTAGTCAGTTGCCATCAAGAAACGTATTTAGTCAGTAGCGAATTGTTCAAGTAGTACAAAGACCAAGGAGAACAAGTGAAAAACTAGCTGGAAATTCTTCCGTGACTGGTGCACGATATCTAAGCGCCCTCATATCCATCCGTAAGCACTACGAATCAAAGGAATTCATTTTCTTTGGGGACAGTTCACACTTGAAGTTTCGCCGCCGACTTTGCTTCTTTTCAGCTATTCAGCCATCAAACAAACTCATTTGAGGCACCGCTCTTGCTCTCATTCTCGATCTGTTGATTATACAAGTGTCCCATTACTTAGGATGGAATTCCGATCACAGTTCGACTTGACCAAAAAATCTTTGTCTCAACTTCCAGCCGAGATCAAAAGGCTCATCGTCGAACAAACTGCACTTGTGACAGAGAACAGAGAGTGGGAGGGTCATAAATTCTTGAAACTTGCCTTGGTAGATCGAAGCTTTTATGAGCTTTGTAGTCCGTTCAATTGGAAGGTGCGTTTCCCTCATCCTTATATATCACGTTCCTTTTCGTGCATTTTCTTGCCTGTAACTTTATACACAATGGTGTTTCCTTTGAAATCCGACGAGTCTTCCGGAGTCATTTCCTAATTTTTTTTTTCATGACCTTTTGCTTATGTAGGAGCTCAACCTGCGCTTCTGTGGGAGACCAGTGCTTGAAGATCTGATCCATGATATACTGCCTCGTCAAGCAAAACATGTGCAATCAATCCTTATGGGACTCCATCCCGACGATGTTCCAGACCAGAAAAATGCCGCGTGCAATTCAGAAACAATCGATGACTCGAGCGACTCAAAAACAATTGACAGTGATGAAGAATTCCCTGAAGAAGAATTAGTTTACATCTTGGAAACTTGCACTAACTTGACCAAGTTGGAGATATGCTTTGAACCGACCTCACTGGATGAGTTCGGAAACTTTATCATTGATAATTTGCGCCCGATAACAATGATCACGCCCTTGATATCTCAGCTTTCCAGTTTAACCCACATCCACCTAGACAACTACAGTTACCAGCCTAGAATTCTCTTCAGCGAGGAGTTTTTGGTCAAATTACTTGAAAAAATGGTGCATCTGGTTTACATTCGAGTGAATTATATTGAGGCCTCCGTTCCAATTTGCGATTTCTGCGAGTGTTCACAATCCATTCAACCCTCTGTGTCGCCACTTGGTGTTCATTTGGCTTCACTACCATCACTTAAAGCCATCGTATTCGCTTATGCCGATTGTTTTACTTCGGACTGGAGCAAACTCGAATGGAAAGGGGCGCTTGAAGAACTAACACTGCATTATTGCTTCAAGGTTTCTTTACGCGCCTTGCATGCCTTTTGCAGTCTCCTAAAGAATAGCCTGGTTAAGCTTTCCCTTTACTACGCTCCGGTCAGCTTCCCAGACGAGGGTTTATCCCACGTCCTACCTGAATCGGAGCGAAAACTCCTATTTCGTCTTCCACAGCTGCAGAGGCTATATATCTTCAACGATTATTCAGTCGAATTTCTCAATTTATTCCGAGAGTCTTCCAACATCAAACACATCAGTCTGAAAAATAATGTCGAAATTCGCTTGGAAGATCTCAAAAACCTGATGAACCACCGGGATCCGGTTTGGAGACAATTGAAATCATTCGTGTTGTGCGACGACAGGGGATATGACGAACATGAATGGCCCACGCCGGAGGAAGTTTCCGATTTGATAGCTCATGGTGCCAAAGCCAGTGTCAAGGTTGAACACGGCTTTGTGTTGGACGACGGTAAACGATGGTGGCTCAATGACGGGGAAGACCAATGGAGATTTGAGGAGGAGATAGAGGAAAGCGAAAACAGTACATGATGGATATTGAATTATCACAGACGTAGACTATTGATAGTAGAATAGTAATTTTACTTAAAGACAACCTTGCAATGACCAACAAGAATAAATGAATACCGGTCTGATCTTACATAAATGTGGGTATTTACTTCTCTAGTAGAAAGAATTATTTTCATCTTGTTGTTTCCAATTGTTTCTTTGTTAATTCTTGGGGGAGATGGTTTCTAGAATGAACAATTTACTACCCAAATAAACAGATTGTTACGGAGCCATCCATCTGAACACGCACCACAAATGAAACAAAAGCTTGGGGTACATAAATAACTCAAGGATTCCAAAATTATAATTTTTCAGTGCTACTCGGTCAAATTGAGATACGTGGGCCGACGGGTCTGGTGTGTGTACGACGGGTCAGCCCGATCACTGCCTCTGGGACCCTCCGGGGCTCCGCCCGATCGTATGTAGCCCTCCATGGGTCGGGGACCGGGCTGAGTCCCCGAAATCCGCCTGGTCGCGTGAGATGCAGACCACGGGGGGCAGCCGGACAACCGACAAGACTAATTATTTCTCAAACGCAACTTGGTGGTTCCCAGATCCGACCGACGCATAGGATTATCCCGCCGACAAACATGCCCAAAATGGAGTTTTCAGCAAACGAAAGAGTGTTGTGTTACCATGGTCCTTTGCTATATGAGGCCCGGGTGAGAGTTATTGACAAGACGAAATATTCAATGAACCGATGGTAAACTGAAATTGATGCTCATTGTCGGTTTCTTTTCCCCTAAAACATCAGGTACTCAAAGTAAAAGAAGCGGCTTCGGACGAGGCGCGTGACATACCCAAAGGGAACCAGTACTGGATACATTACAAGGGCTGGAAACAGAAATGGGACGAATGGGTTTCCGAGAGCCGATTGCTGAAGTTAACCGAAGAGAATCTGCGATTGGAGCGTAGTCTGAATGAGAACCACAGGGTGAAAGAAGTCCCAGACAAGTCCACATCCAAAGATGCTAAAAATAACGACCCTCGACCGACAACGAATTCTGATAAGGGGAAAAAAGCGGAGGGGAGGGGCACCAAGAGAAGCCGGGATAGTGTCTGCGAACCTGCAAGTCGACGGTTTCATGAGTTTTGTTACTACAATTATCAGGAGATGTATTTTTTAACGTTTCTTCGACATTTGCTGAATCGGCCCTCGTCTCTCACTCTATAATAGGAGGAAGGCCCTTCGAAACAGCCTGTTACGATCGTCATTCCTGAACCTCTCAAAATTCAACTTGTCGACGACTGGGAAGCTGTGACGCGACAGAACCAAGTACTTTGTTTTTGCTAAAGAATGACTCCAGCTAAGTAAAACTGATCGCAACATTCGATTATATCGATATTTGTAGGTTGTCAGCTTACCCCGAACTCCGACAGTCAAGAGCCTATTGGAAGAATACGAACGATACGCTATCGATGATTCAACCACCCCGCAAGCCAAAAATTTGATCAAGGAGGTCAATGCCGGACTGAAAGTCTACTTCGACAAATCCTTGGGATATTGTTTACTTTATCGGAATGAGCGACAACAATACATCGAAATACGGAAAAAGCTCAAGGGTAAACTAGCCAGCGAGATATATGGTGCCGAACATCTACTCAGATTGATTGGTGGGTGTCTCATATCCCCGTCGTCGTGACTACTGTCAGCTTTCAGGACCTGTCGATCTGTTCTAATCTGCTGTATTAGTCAATTTACCGGAGATGATTTCACACACCAAGATGGAGCCCGAGATTATTAACATCGTACGAGAGCATGTCGCTAAGATTTTGGAGTAAGTGAGAATTGTAAGAAATGCACAACAAACCATCCTAAACTTTCATTTATCTGATACCCCTGATGGTCCGTTTTCTCCAGATGGCTTGTTACAGAACAGTCGAGAGTAATCCAGTCTCCTTATGCAGATACGTCGACCGCCTATCAAAAAATCAACCGAACAATATAACCCTGAATGAACCTCTCTGAAACGGCAAGGACTCTTCAAGACTTGCTTTCAAATCCCATCCGAAGGCCAAATGCTACATTGGGAACACAGCAACTGGTTCACTTCTTGGTGAAACAACACCGCAAGTGAATTGGGTGTGGATGTACCAGGTCGACAGCCTCTCGATACCCATGCTGATGAGGCCTCGTATATAATTTTGAGTCTATTCTTGGAAAGGCTGGTCATGTATAACCACTAAATCAAATTCAAGTGTTTTTTGATAAAGAAGATTAATTTATTCCAGCAGAAGATATTTTATGTCGTGAAAATGTTCTTGACTATCATCTGAATCCTTTTTGGACTATCTATAAACAAATGTTCTATATATGTAAATTTATAAACACGAAGGGCCAATACATGCTGGAATCTCCCTGCACGTTTGGACAATATTTCAAATGCGATAAGTGTAAGCGGTGTGCGGAGTTCGTCAGATTGTGCATATTAGTTGTTTTGATAATTAAAATAGGTGCGGATGAATGTGATCATAAGTTTTCAAAGATGAAACTCAAATGACTTAAAATGATTCCGCTCAGCTTACAGGCAAGTTGTTGTGTTGACCGTGTGGTTTAGATCGCTGTAGCGGTTGCTGGGACGCATGGTTTCTGTTAGGAAGCAGATGTCCTGATACATACATGCACACCTACTAATGAGATGTGCTGAAAACTGCAAATCCCCAGCAATGTCACCTAATTCAAAAATCATGTTCCTGTTTTTTGCTTACCCAAATTTATGGGGATATCCAGGATCACTCAATGTTAAGCTTAAAAAGGAGCCCAAAAACCCCAGAATTCTTGATTTCCAGTATTTTTCATTATTAACAGGATACAAAACCCTTCATAAATTTTGGTTACAATTGAGCAATTAATAACAGCTTTTATTGAGGACTTGCAATTTGTAACTCCAGAAAATTTTTGAAGGGCATCATAAGAAGGATTGGGAAGCAGGTATGTTCAGTCTGGAAAAGAAAGAAAGTTTGGTTTTTGGTTTTACTTCACTCATCCATGTGCTGAATTTTACCTTAGGCTTGGGGACCTTTCCCCGGATCTTCATCAAGTTCTTGTCATTGAAAGGTGCTCCGAGGCGACCATTGATCCAAAGAGTAAGCTGGTCGGCCAATATTGTTGAGAAGGACATATCCAGATTCTCGTACATTGAACTGGGATATTGATCTCGATTCCGGAAAAACTTCAGACAACCCCTCATGTATCTGAGCTGCTTATCAAGAAGAGGATAATTTCCCCAAGAACCTCGTATTCTCGCTAAGATCGGTTTGTAAAACTGATCAAAAAACTCCAACATGTAGTAAACCATTTGGAATTCTAATCGACTGTTAACTGAATCCGTTAAAGGATATCGAAAAGAGGCAACCAGAGTGTCTATTGTGGCGGTGAGTAGAACATAATCTGCCGTCTGCAGATGTTCAATACCTGGCGCATCACGTAGTCCCGAGAAAAAATTACGCGCTTGCCCAAGAAACTCGGCCTCGCGGAATCCTTCGACGATCAGTTTGAACGGTAGGCTCAATTGCGATCCCGGGAAGCATTCAGCCATATGGCCCAAGGTAGTACTCAGGAGGAGGTAGACAAGATGCGCCTGATCTTCAGTAGGGAGCGCTTTCGTGCAAAGAAGACGAAAGAAACAGTAGTAGTAGTGAGTAAATAACTCATACGTATCAAGAGAGGAAAACGAATACCTTCAATGGATCTGTGGAAGTGCTTCACAGCCAAGCCATTTGTCAAAAATTCTATTTCAGGAACCACCGAGTCTTCGGCGACGAAAAAATCTGGCCCATGCTTGAGAAACATGAGGTCAATATGAAGCTTGACCATTTCCCGTAGAGTTTTGGGCTTGAAGATTTCAATGCTCTCGATGAACTTTGAGGGCAGCAGTCCATATCTTACGATCTGGTCTCCCAACTGGAATAATGATTTCAAGAAAGCAAGGTGGAAATCTACCTTGGTGGCATCGCGTCGAGATTCTTTCGAAATATCAATAAGCTTCTCTTGTAAAGAGTTCCAAATAGCAATTGATTCATTTTTGATCTTATCTTTTATGATACTCAACAAATCCCCGTGCAGTATGCGGCTTGTTCCACTGTGCATCGGCAAATTTCCAAGTGGAATTCCTTGTCCATTGGGAAGAACTAGGGATTCGTCTTGACTAGCAACCAGGGGTGCGTAATTGGTTGTGGGCAAGTTTTGCCCATGTGGAATTTGAAGAGGCTCACTGGAGGATTTCATGTTTGCAGCGTAAGATCCCAGGTGATTTTGATGTGGAGAGTTTAAAACTTCGCTCTTTTCATTGAGGATGCTGCTTGGGACCGCACCAACCTGGTCCGGATGGAGGACCTCACTCGGGCTATGGAAATGCGTATTTTCAAATTTAATGCTTTCTTTGACTATATCAACAGCACTTGAAGCCGTTGGAGTGGGGGGTAGGTGTCTGTTTGTCGTAGTTTGCGGTATTCCTGCTCCCCACACATTTTCATCCAAGATAAGAGGTGATGGAATAGATGAAGTTTCTTTGTTCTTGGTTTGCGATGTGAAAATTGAGTTCAGTCCATCCAACCGAAACAGTTTCTTGAGAATTTTACGAATTTGGGTGGTCCGTCTTTCCGGGTTTGATTTGGGAAGAAGGGAATTGATGGGCGGGTTCAGTCCACTCAGCCGAAACACCCTATCTATAGTGGGTGTCCCAAGAAGATAGTGAAGCTGTTCTAGTTCAGATTTTATTACATCGAGTTTTTCATCGATGTTTGGCTCGAGTGACTTGATCTGTTTATCAGATTGCGCACGTTCATTTCGCATCCTTTGCCTCTCAGCTGGATGAAACCATCAGTTTGAGCAGGACTGGCATATCAGGGCAAAGAACGTAAAACTTACCCTTCCTTTCAGGCAATCCGTCCGGAATTATTCCATATTCCTTTTCAGCGAGTTGTTCTTGTGCGCCTGGTCTTGTGGGCTTGCTAAGGATGACACTGCTAAATCCTCCCAGGTCAACATTTGACGGTATGACAACTAGCATGATAAGGATGCAAATTAGTAGAAGATTAAATTTTTCGATTTGGAACTCGCCTGAGGCGCAACGGGGAATTTTGGATACTTACTCGGGGCATCCTGTGCTGCATGAGCCTCTTCAGTGATGCTGGATAACGTTAGTCGGGCGGCGCCTACTATTTCGTTAAAAACAACACAGAAAAACAGTCTTTTTGGTAGGAGCACCATCCTGTTCGAGCTTGGAAGCAGTTGTAGCCGTGCGGAACGCCAACGTGAGGATGAGAAGTCCAAATTCAAAGGTTTGACCAGACGGCCTATTGCAAAACCCGAGACATAAAGCTGCTTTGGGCTTAATACACGAAGGGAAACAGTTGCGTACATATTAAACATTCTTGAGACAAAGAATCCTTCCAGAACAACTCCAAGTCTCCCTGAATTCGGAGGGTGGATGTTGTCGCCCGGTCATGACTCATCTTGTCCCACTTTTGAAAAAGTGTGTCGACGGGTTGGTGGCGTAGAGGCGCCATTTTTTTTCTATGAATCTCAATACCAGAGCATGATCATCATTGTTGCATCCACTTATCATTACCACTGGTGTTTTTCTGTCTTCATTTTTAGAAAGTTCTAGAAGGTCTTGGTGTACAACTTGGCAAAAGTGAAACTAATTTTGCAAAAAAAACCCTTTGAGCAAAGCACTCATGAACCCAAACTCAAGGCAAACATGGTTTCGAACCAACTGTGGGCTTGTCTCAAGAAGGCTCTAGTTACTGTCACCATTCGTGTATGAAACTCAAAGCAGGTTTGCATTGCGGACTATGTATGGCGGGCTTCGCGACACTCCACCTGACGAGTGCTTTCCCGTCTCCACCCCTTTTATTTTTTACTTTGTTGATAGTGTTTGTTCCGCAAAAACTACATGTTCATTCATTCTCGGACAGGATGGTGTTGCTCCTCAAGATACTGTTTTTCTGTGTTGTTTTGAACGGAAGAAAAGGTGCCGCTCGACTTGCGCTAACGAGCGTTTCTAGAGGGACCCATGCAGCACAGGATTTGGCGAGTAAGCAAGTTCTCCAGAGTTCCCCTTTCGCCTCGTGATATTTCGTACTCTTTTACTTATATGCATGCTTGTTGTGTAAGCAGTCATACCTGGTGTTGACCTGGGAGGATCTAGCAGTGCCGTTGTGATTAGCAGGCCCATACATCCAAGTACACCAGAACAACTTGCTGTTAAGGAGTATGGTATTATTCCGGTCGGATTATCTGAAAGGAAAGGTGAGTTTGACGTTTTTCTGACTTGCTTGTGTTCTTTTTCTTGCTTTATATACCAATCTTGCTTAAACCAATGTTTTCATGCAGCTGAGAAGCAAAGGATGGGGAATGAGCGCACGAAGTCTCTTCATCAGATTAACTCACTTAATCCAAAAAAGGACAAAGAGCTCACTCTAATCAAATCCCAACTCCAACAGCTTTATTACGTCCTGAAGACACCCACTCTAGATCGGGTTTTTCGGCTGAGTGGATTGAACCCGCCCATCAATTCCCTCCTTCTCAAATCAAATACGGGAAAGATTCGTGGATTCCTGGAAAATGTGTTCCGTTTCATGAGGCTGGACCCTTTTTTCAAATCGCAAACCAAGAAATATAATGAATTTTTATCCATCGTATCGCCTTTTCTTTTGGGTGAGAAGGTGCTGGGACCAGCGATACGGCGAATTACGACTGACGAACACCTACCCCAGAGCCCAACTCTCATAGTCGGAGGAGCCAATGAACTTGAGAATGCCGAGTCTCACAGTCTGTCCGGGGTCCCCCACAATGTTCAAGCTGGTGCGGTCAAAGATAGCACCTTCAATGCTAAGGATCCAAACTCGTACGCTCAACATGAAATTCACCTTGCATCCTTCCCTGTGGACAAGAAGTCCTCCAATACGCCTACTTCTATCTCCCATCAAAAACACTTGCCAGCAACCGTACCCACCATGTCGCCTAGTCAAGAAGGATCACTACTTCTACCCAACGGAAAAGGAATTCCACGTGGAAATTCACAGATTCAAAGTAGCAGAACTGGTATGCTACACGGTGATGTGTTTGGGATTGTAAAAGACAAGATCATCGAGGAGCCAATCATAATCTGGAAATTCTTACAAGAAAAGCTTATTTCTTTGTCAAAAAAAGATTTGTTGGCTAAACAAAAAAATCGCACCTTCCAGCTCGCTTTTTTGAAATCTTTTTTTCAACTGGGAGACTACATCTTCAAATATGGACTACTACCTTCAACTTTTATCGACAGCATTGAGATCTTCAAGCCTAAAATTCTGCAGGAGATGGTCAAGTTTCACATTGACCTGCTGTTTCTCAAGTATGGACGAAGATTTTTTGTCGCACAAGACTCGGTGGTTCCTCAACTAGAATTTTTAACAAACGGCTTGGCTGTGGAGCACTTTCACAGATCCATAAGAGGTATGTCTATCCCATCAGAATGGGAAAAAGCTGTTTTGACAATCCTTTCTAGCTACCCGAACATTTCAAGGGCCAACCTTTTTTGGTCCTTTCCCTGATTTCATCTAACATATTTTGCTGACTAATACTGCCTATTTTCGTAAAAGCCCTCTCTGCTGAAGATGAGAAACATCTTGTCTACCATGTTCTGAGCACCATCTGGTACCATATGATAAAATGCTTCCCAGGGTCGCAATTGACTCTAGGCTTCACCACAAACGCCGAAACATTTCGCCATGCCGAGTTCTCAAGCAAGCCGATAGTCTTTCCTCGGCACTGCTTGACGCACCGGAAATTGAACATATGAACGCGATTGATCACACTCCAATCGCTCAACTGGTACGAAGTCTAGTTAACGATTTTCGAATCCCGGACCGGAGGGCATCCCAAATTCGAATACAATTCCAAATGACATTTTACATTTTGGAGTTTCTTGATCAATACTACAAACCAATCCTGATGAAAGCACTAGTATGGCCGACTAATTACTCTGATCTCCAAAAGGAACTCAAATTCATGGGCAGTTATTTGAAATTTTTCCGAAATCGGGATCAATACCCCAGCAGTATGTACGAAAATCCAGATATGTACTTTTCAACAGCAAGCGTACAACTCAAGCGTTGGGCCGACTTGTGGATTGCGAGGGTTTTCAAGAACAAAAACTGGTTGGAGATCAGAGGAAAGGCCCCAAAAATAAAGTTTAACACATGGATGGGTGAAATCAAGAGGCCCATTTTTTTATTTTCCTGACTTAAAATACCTACTCCCTCTCTCCTTTCATGCCTTTCAAATAGTTGTGTGAGTCAATATTGTTAAGTTTCCAATTCTAGTAAAAGATAATAATGGCTTTTCTTCTGTTATCAACTATGAACAATATTAGAAATCAATAGCTCAGGATTTTTGGGAACTGTTTTACCTTTGAAGGATCCCAGAACCCCCAGCCACAAAGGTGGGTAATTAAAAAATCTTAGAGTGGTTCAATTCATACACCAAGGGACATGTCCAAAGAGTTGGGACTTCCAGAACATTTATTTGAAGGAATAATTGGTATAGCTTTGGATCTTCTGAGAAGCACCAGTGGACCGCAGTGAGCACAAGATACGAGTCTTGTGAAGCAAGGACTAAGAACTGAAAAGAAGAAGAAACTAATCACCTATTGAGGCGAGACAGAAGAAGCAACTGAATGAGTGAAGCAAGAGAGAAAAGAGAGGAAAAACAAAGTTGAATACTGACTGTTTAGTTTTCACTGTCTTCTGTCTACTCTTCCCTAAAAACCCGTCAATTCCGCCTCTTCTGTTCCTTTCTTATTTCTTGAATACTGCTTAAATTTAGACTGGATTATAGTCTTTAAGTAGCTTGTTTTTTGTTGCCTGAATCACTTCTGAATTCAATGCAACTTATAGATCTTGTCAACAACTCATGTCTCTCTAAAGTCTTCTAATTTTTTCTAAATTGGTCTATCCATAAAATTTGATTGTTTAGAATTGTCAACTCTTAAACATTTGTGGTTGATTGTATGTTATTTCATGATTAATTTTCTAGCTTGTCTAAAAGAGACTGAGAAGGCTTGTCCGGTTATTACTTCCATGAACTCACACATTTCTTCCTCTCAGATTTTATTCAAAATCACTCTTGATTCATTTTCATCTTTACCACATTTTGTACAATTGTATTTAGTCTATTCAAACGCTGGCTAGATACTTGTGAATAAAATATTATTGGTTCTTTACACTCTTTTTCCATGAGCCCTTCTCAAAGAGAAGACTCTCTTTTTTGAACCTCAACCTCTTACACGCTTGAGCTCAAAAATTTCAACACTGAAAATGGTGGGCCACTACACTAACCTTAGCGGTCAGCTCAGCGGAATTCCGCTAAAATTTAGCGTATGGTAGCGGAATTCTGGCGTGTCCATGCTAAAACCACACATGCAGGCCCCTAAAAAGGGCCCGCTACGCTGCACTAACACACTGGTTAGCGGCATTTTGGTCCTGTAGTGGCCGTTAGCGGCCCGTAGTGCAGCTTAGCGTAGCAAAAAACCGCTAAACTTTTGCTAACACTACACAATTTTGGCGCGCAAAAAAAACCGCTATGCTAACACTTTTTGGGCAAAAATCACAGTGGACCACCGTTGATACTGAGGAATCTAGGTAAAACATGTAAACCTAATCTACATGATAGAAACAAGATTCCAGTCATCCACCTCTCATGAACCCTAACCTTCTGGATAGTGGTGTGTCTTCTGGCATGTTGCTATACTGTCACATTATCTTCTACCTCTCCTTTTTCCTCTTCATCTCTATCAGATTGAACTCCCAGAGGCCTACTCTCATTCACTGCATATCTGATACATTTTTTATATAGCTTAAAATTCAACAAATTCTTTCTTCTTCTTCAAATTGTCTTGGCCAAGCTGGATGACAGATTTGTTTGGGACTTTTGTGATTTGTGCTAAGAGAACGTTGGTGTCAAAAAACTTTCCTGGCCATGAAGACATTCACCTTCTTCAGTGGTGAGCTTTTGACCCAGATTTCAACACAATATCAAAGTGATCTTGACATTGTTCTTTCAGACCATAGTAAAGAAAGAATATTGCACCTGTAGTGAAGAGATTAGAATGTTTTTCATTTTTACAAGTATAAATTATTGATTCAAGATTTGGCCTCCCCAGTTATAGCATGGCAGCTGATGCACATCAAACGAGATGTGCTGGGAATTTTAACTCCTCGGTGGAACAAAAATTCATCTTTTTACTTGTTTATGACTAAGGCTCCCAAAATCCTTGCAGGCTAAAAAATAGCCCAGTCATCCACAATTGTTGATTTAATTTGGTTATTGGTTAACACTCACAACCCACAAAAATCAATTATAAATTTTTACTATGCACAATTGAGAGCTTGAAAATTTTACTTCACCAACATTTTTTGAATGCATGGAAACGATGAAGAAGTAGGTATATTCATTCAGGAAAAGAAAGGAAATTTCGGCTTTTTCATTTCACTCATCCACAAGTTGAATTTTGCTTTGGGGACCGTTCCTCTGATCTCCAACCATTTCTTTTTATCAAAAATTTCTTTAATGCGATACTTGATCCAGATTTCCAGATTGTCGAGCATTTCTAAAAAGGACATATCCAGATTTTCGTACATAGAGCTGGGATATTGATCTCGATCGCGGAAGAATTTTAGGTAAAGATTCATGAATTTGAGCTTTTGTTGGATGCGGCAAAAAGATCCCCACTGTGCTAGAATTGCCGCGGTCATTGGTTTGTAATATTGATCAACAAACTCCAACATGTAGTAGACCATTTGGAATTGTATTCGACTTTGGGCTACCGTCAGTGTGGGGTGTTGAAAACAGGCGAAAAAACTTTCTGTCAGTTCGAACATTAGAACATTATCACTCCTGTTCAAATGTTCAATTCCTGGCGCTTCGTGCAGTTGCAAGGAAAGACTATCTGCTTGCTCGAGAAACTCGCTCAGACGAAATCCTTGGGCAATCAATCTGAAGTCTGGACTCGATTCCGACTCCGGGAAGCATTCTTCCATATGCTGCAGGATGCTAGTCAGGGCGAGGTATACAGGGTACTTCTGATCTTCAGCGGAGAGAGCTTTTTTTCAAGAAAAGAAAGATCACGGGTATTAGTGAGTAGAATATCTTATATCAGTTCAGCAACTGCATCAAAATAGCTTGTCCCTTGTGGTGTTCATGCAGCTACGCGGGAAGGTCAAGAATGAGTTGGTCCATTTTTACAAATAACGTACCTTTGATAGATCTATGAAAATGCTTCAAAGTTAAGCCATTTGTCAAAAATTCTAGTTGAGGAACCACCGAGTCTTTCGCGACAAAAAACTTTGGTCCATGCTTGAGGAACAGGAGGTCAATATGAAACTTGACCATCTCTGATAATGTTTTTGGCTTGAAGATTTCAATACTCTCGATGAAAGCCGGGGGCAATAGTTCATATCTGAAGATGTAGTCTCCCAACTGGAATAACGATTTCAGAAACGCAAGCTGGAACTTTGCTTTTTTGGGATCCGCTGGGGCCTTCGAAAAAGCAATAAGCTTTCCTTGCAAGAAATTCCAAATATCGACTGTTTCATTGATGATCTTGTCGTTTATATAACTCAATTCATCCCCGCCCACTTCGGCCGTTCCCGTACGTTGAATCTTCACATTTTCCAATGAAACTCCTTCCTCCTTGCCAGACATTAGGGATCCGTCTTGCCTAGGTACCTGCATGGGTACGTTTGTTCTCGGGTATTCTCCCTGTGAAATTCGCATGGCTTTACTTGAGAATACCAAGTCCGCAGGGTAGGATTCACTGAGGATGTTATCTTTGACCGCACCGCTTCGGTCATCATGGGGGACCTCGATCGGACTGTAAGACTCGAGATTTTTGAATTCAATGCCGTCTCCGACCATGAAAGTGCTCGGGACCGTTGGGCTGCGGGATGGCTTCTCGTGCTTGGTTCGCGCTCTGCCACCTGAGTTCAGCCTATTAAACCAAAAGACTTTCTTAAGGATTTTGCGACTCTTAGGATCCCTTCTTTTCGGATTTGATTTCGGAAGAAGGAAGTCGATGGGCGGGTTCAGTCCACTGAGCCGAAAGACCCTATCGATAGTGGGTCCCTTGAGGGCATGGTAAAGTTGCTGCAGGTGTGATTTGATTAGGATAAACTCTTGATCGTTTTTCGGCTTGAGTGACTTGATGTGTTTTTTCGATTCCATGCGTTCACTTCCCATCCTTTGCATCTCAGCTGCATGTCAGACCATCAGTTTGAGAAGGATTGGGAAATCTTGTGTTATTCAGATGAGTATAATCGAGTTGGGAAACTCGCCTTTTCTTTCAGGTATTCCATCTGGAATAATACCATACTCCTGTCCAACGAGTTTTTTTTGTTTGCTTGGCTTTCTGGGCGTGCTAGTCACGATGGCACGGCTAGATCCTCCCAGACCAACATTCGGTATGACTGCTTGCACAAAAAGGATGTGGATAAGCGAAAAAGCGTGCAACTGTTGGATTTAGAAATAGCGTGATGGTTAATTTTGAAATACTTACTCACTGAATCCTGTGCTGCATGGGCCTCTTCAGTCACACTTGATATTGCAACTCGGGCGGCGCCTATTAATTCGGTCAAAACAACACAGAAAAACAGTTTCTTGAGGAGGGGCACCATCCTGTCCGAGATTGCAAGAAGCTGCAGCCTTGCACAACGCCAGCGACTGTTGTTGGAACTCAAGAGGTATCGGTCTGTTAGGCCTTTAATAAAACAGAGCAAGTCTTGTTCATTTAGCGTGTCGCAAAGCCCGCTTCGGAAACCTCTACTGGCACCAAAGAGTTACAGCTCTATGCAGCAACATTCTTGAGACAATCAAATCAGAATTGAGGCAATAGGACGGTCTACAACATTTGAACTTTCGTACGTTCCAAGGGATAAACCGGCCCCTCTAAATTATATGCAGTGTGACTGCGATGATTCCTCTTCAGGGCCAATGTTTTGAAACGGAGAGGTTTGTGCTAATGCAAGGTGATGATGTCCAGAAGAGCAAGATGACATCCTGCGTTTTTAGCTCGAGTCCCCGTTTTGCCTTGCTTTTCGATCGGTACCCCCTCGAGTGCGGTCGGGGAGCTCGCCGGTCGAGGGCCCGAACAACCCGAGACGCATACAAGCCAAGCACATCTCCTATTCCTTTATCGACCTCTGCGAAAACGACCACCACGACTACCTATTGACTTGACAGCGAAAGGAAAGAGCAGTTCGGGATGACCACAAACCAGGGAAACAAGCCATCGATCACAGTCGAACACCATCTACCAATCCACGAAGAACAAACCGAACCAAGCAAACGACCCAAACTGGATACCCAACCTCAAGGACCATCTACAAACAACGTACCATCATCATCATCATCATCATCATCACCATCATCAGAGAATCAGGCTAACAACCGAACAATGGAACATGGGAAGAACCAGGAGTGTAACAGCAGAGAAGTCTCGGACGGAGAAGACTCGCCATCCGAAGCACTGGAACTCACGTTTTCATGGAGAGATTCAACCGTGGGTGAATCAACACATTTATCACTTGAGACGAGCTAGCTGAAAGAGAGGAGAGAAAGGCTGATCAAGAGGATAGCTTTCTGCGTACACAGTTCAACGTCGCCCTCGATGGAATGGTGACGATCAAGGACCTCAAGGTGGTCATATATTCAGTCACCGCTGTCCCCCCTGAACGACAGAAGATCCTCGGCCTCGTCCTAGGACAGATCCCCGCCGATGACGTCCTCCTGTCTACCCTCCAATTCAAAATCAAAGTCAGTCTTTATCTGGATTTTATTTTGTACATGTATATATATATATACTAAAAGTGACATCATTGTGTTCGATTTGATTCTTCCAGAAAGGCGTACATTTCAAGCTACTCGGGACTCCTGAGGACGAAGGTCTCTCTACCGCTCCACCCGAAACTTCCTCATCATCAACAGTCAGTCTGGCCTCTTTCATTTATTTAATCATTTTTCTACAAAAATCATCTACGGAAAGACTGAATCTTTATTAATCTATATTTGTGTAATAGCTCGATCAATCAGACTCTCATTCGATTCGCAAGGCTCGTCAGTCCCAGGACTGTGTGCTATATATGACTCGAGTCCGAGAGAAATTGGACGAACTTTCTAGTCACTTGTTTGTCTACCTCTCTCTCCCTCGTTTTTTTTTCTTCTCCTGGTTCTTGAAAGAGGAAGGGAGAGAAAAGAAGTTGAAAATGGAGGGCATCAACACCCTCAGAAAGAAACATTTCCTTCCCTTTTCCTGGCCCTCGGAACTCACTCCATTTTTCCCCACACTGATAATCTGTCGATCTTGATTGTTTTCAATTATTAAGGGAATTGAATATTATGGTACGTGCGTTTCTCCCTCTCAACTGATCTCTAATCAAGTGTCGATTTTCCAATCGGATCATCATTGAGGAATTCAAAAGTCTAACCCAATCTCTCCTTTCTCTTTTTCGAATCTAGAACCCACCACGACCGGGGAAGAAGTTGCTGGTACTTGATTTAGATGTGAGTGTCTGGACACTCCGATATATAGAATCAACCAAAGATTAAAAGAATTTTCAGTCTAATTAACATTATCGAGACAGTATACCTTGATGGACTCGAAAGCTTATAGCGATTATTCAGTACACGCCTTGGGTCAGTGAATAACGCTGTTCCATGATGTATCATCCGTTTTATGTTCTCGCCACTCACCTGCCCTTTTTCTCCCCTCCTGCTTCATGGCCGTTTGTTAATTTTAACTTCAGATATGGCAAGGCCTTGTAAGGACTCTGTTTCACTTTTGCGTCCCTTTGTTGCATAACTCCGGGGGCAGAGTGGGATGAACATGATACTCCAAAATGTGCTCAAAACTTTCTTTTATCGCTGTTTTAATTCTGCTTGATGTGATATGAACAGACCTACACGAGTTTCTGACCGCTCTATGGCCTTATTATGATGTAAGCGTCTCTCGAGGACTGTGAAGACTATCATCAACCTTGCTAACAATCTTTCCTCAATCATTAATGTTTTCTTGATCAGATCTGCATTTGGTCAGCCACTAGTTGGAGATGGTTGGAGAGTAAACTGGTCGAGTTAGGCATGGTTGGGGGAAACTACAGTGATAAATATCAGATCCAATTCGGTGGGTGCTTATGTCTATATCCCCAACTGTCTGTGCACATCATTGATCCGTCTTCTTCTCTGCCTCCCTTCACCTGATCTGCCGGCTCTCCAAATCCCGATCCTCGATTGATCGATCTATCTCTATCTTCAGTTTTGGATCGAGGGACGATGTTCGAAGTGACTTCAATGAGGCATGGAAAGATATCTAGGCACGAGGTAATATTTTGTCCCATCCTCTTTCTGTTCACTCGCTCTTTCAAAAACTCTCGCTAAGTCTGAATCGTCTCTCCGATTTCCCAATCAGGTTAAAGCTCTCGAACTCATTTGGAGGAAGATCCCGGCTTACAACGAAACAAATACGGTCCATTTGGACGACCTCAGTCGGAACTTTGGTACGTGTTCCGCTCCCTTCTCCTTCCTCAACTGTCCTCTCCCAATAAAGAGTTCGTCGTTCAAGAGCTACAGACGATCGGTTAACATATGTCCGTTTTTTTAAAAAAAAAAGCTTTGAATCCTCGATCAGGAGTTAAACTCTCGGCGTTCAAGAATGCTCGGGTCAACAAGCACGATCGACAACTGGTATTCCTAGCCAGGTGAGTAAGAACTAATCATTACCAAAGAGAACAGTTTTTTTTTTCTTGCAGGAAATTCAGAGAAAGGAGATGATGAAACTGATTAGAGTGAGAGGGCCATCAGGTACTTCTTGCAGATCGCTTCACTATCCGATGTGAGGACGGTGGACCACAAGAAATGGGCGGATTGTCGGTTACCCTTGCCTGTTGGCTCGTCTGACCCGTTAGAGATCTTGGACCCCGCCGACCCTGAACTCGTCAAATTCAAAACTTCTCATCATCTTCCCCCTCCCCCTCCTTCTTGATTTTTTTTCGTGTAACTCGTACCTACTCCTTTTTTCCTCTCTTTTCCTCTTTTTCTTTGTTGGTAAAAAAAAAACTTTGGCTATTGGCTCTTGCCAACCCTCTCATGCCCTTTTTTCATGTCTTTCTTTTTCATGTAACACATATATGTGTATGCGGGATTTATACACATACATATATGTAATTAAATATCGATCTATTTATTTATTTATATATTTGTTTGTTTGTTTGTTTACTTCTGATTACTGTCTGATTAAGAAAAACAAAACAAAACAGGACAAAAAAACAGAAAAATTGAAAAAATTGGAGTTCAAGCTGGACAAATTGGAAAGAGAAGGTCACACCACATGTCAGTCACCCTTTACATCTTTCCTGATGTATTTGATGTTTGCAGGGACTTTGTCATTAAAAGAAAGAAAAAAATCCAATTGATGGAGTGGGGAACTGGATCTGTTTCATCCGCTGAGGATGCGCAATTATGTAGGTGTCGCCCTGTGTCAAAGGGGCCATTGTGCGATGACTTGAATTCGAGGGAAAAACAATTGTATCATGAAACGTTTTCCAACTACAATTGCACTATGTAAGAGCCATGGATCGGCCTCGGGTGGACATTAAAGGGAAACTTTGCTGAGATTTAAAAGAGAGCACTTTTTTTGCATTGGGCTTGGCGATTTACACTTGGACACCCTCAGTCGGCCGCTCCGGTCCTTGCGGCCTCGCACGACCTGCCGAGGCGTTCCCGACGAGACCGACGAGACACGGTCTGACTCCGGAGCGGCCAGCGGATTGCGCTGAACACCGCTGCTCTCCCATCTAAGAGAAGACACCGGAGAAAAAGGCAGCGGGTACTTTTTCGTCAGCCTGTCACAACTCGGCGGTCTTGCGATGAGCTGGGCTCCTGCCACTGGCCCTCATTGCCATGAGGACCAGGAGCGGTGTTTGCCGCCAGGACCGGAGCGGCCATCGGACGGTGTCCAAGGTGGCGAGTTGCTCTGCTCTCTTCACACTGGTTACAAGTTACGTCCAGTTTATCTCACTTGGCCTTGGATATCTCAACGTTCTTGGCTTCCTAGCCTCACTCGTCATCTCCTTCATCCCGTCCGCCATGTATCTGTTGGCATGCGTATCGGTCGTTTATAATCTCTTCTTCTACTGCCTCAATCCTCCCGTTCCCTATCGGTCTTGTTTTCCTCCCC